TTGTACAATGGCATCCTTCTGTTAGTCAGGACTCTGAAAATTTTGAGTCTTAGTTTTCCCTTGATTGGTCTATACATATTTCAGTTTTTGAAGCTAAATTATAGAAAATGTCACTAATTTATCTTTTGTATAAAATTGGGATGTTAAAATACACTATTTATTTTGTTTCAAAATTTACTATGATTTCTGAGTCTGTATTCAATAGATCAAGGTTTAACCCTTATTTTTAGTCAAAAAAAAATATACTATGATTTCTTAAATTCTCTTCATAATTAAGCAGCTTTAACTTTAGATCGTGTATAACCAATTGTATATGGCAGTTTGTTATATAAATATTCTAAATTATATATAAAAGTACTTAAGCAACGTTTATCAAATTCTTTGTGTTCTTTAGTTAAAATATATCATCTGTTATACACACAAATTAAACTTTAATTATAAAAGCATTATTCATTCATTATCTATGTCTAATGATTTTAAACCAATATTTACTAATCTACAGTAAAACTTCTATAAATTAATAATGTTGGGACTTTGAAATTTTATTAATTTATACAGATATTAATTTATAAAAGTTTCCTTATTGATTTTTTATTTTATTTTAAGATATATTTATTTTAAGATAAGATTTGACATATATATTTTAATGTATAGACATTAATCATTATTTTTAAAAATTTGACATTCATATTAATTTTTATATTATTTGGTATGTAATATATATTTCATAAAATTTAAATGTGATTTTAGATATATATTACTAAATCTCATCAAAAATATATTATGTGTTAAAAAAATATAAAGATAATTCCATTGTGAATATAAAACAAACAATATAATAATATGTTCTTACTTACATAAAATACGTATATATTGCAATTATTAGTTTATATTTTAATGGGACCATATATTTACATTGAATTTTCTAAAAATTTATTATCTTATTATTTTATCGATTTGTGTCTAATTTTGAACCGGTTCAAGTTGGGATCGGTGAAATTTATTAATTTATAGAGATTATTAATTTATTGAGTATTATTTTATAGAGGTTTCACTGTATCCTATTTATTTATTTTTTATCGTAATAAGAAACAGACTCATGAAGATTCTGCAAACCAAAACGGTAACTCCGCATCTATGTGAACGACATAAAACAATTGTTTTCTGGCACTATATGCGAGACTATCCGTCCCTAAATTCTAAGTACTTGGAACATGAATGATCCTCGAGACTATCATACTTAATTTTTAAAGTTTAAAATTTATCATTCTTGTCTAAGAAAAAATACATTAAAATGTGAAAAAATGTATTTTGGAATATATATATTTTTTTCTAAAACATATATCTTTTAAAACAGAGAAAATTTTGTATTTTAAGATGATAAAATATAAAATTAACACTTAGCAAAAATGATACTTAAGAGACAAATTTAATTTACTAATAATAATGATAAAAAGGTAAAAAATGATAAAAAAAAGGTTTACGTTCATATTTGTACTTCGTCTTGTCCATATATTTTTTTAGCATATATCTATATTTTGTTATCAGATATTTTAGGAATTTAAATTTTGAAAATTTAAAAGCTTATATTTATTATTAACATAAAAAGTATAAAAATATTATAGGGTTTATCAATTTAGCTTTATTAGCTCCGTACACTATTGTAATTAATATTTTCCAAATATAAACTCTAGAATAGTGATTTATGTAAGGATTTTTAACACTAAAACCCCTCAACTAAGTTTATTTTTGGGTAAAAATCCCTAAACTAATTATTTAACCAAAAAACCCTCATACTAACTTTATTTAGTGAATTAAACCATCACCGGTCATAATTATCAGTACTACCGGTAAATTTTTAATTTAGAGATTTTATCATTAAAAACAAAATAAAAAATAATAATAACATTATCTAAAAATTTTTAATTTGAATTTTCAAAACTATCATTTTAAAAAATTGTAAATATGTGAGTCTGATTTGTTATCCTTTTAAAATCAACATCATATATGTATAAATTTAAAATGTAAAAACCCAGAAAATATAACAAAAATTATATAAATATCTACCTGTAATAAAAATTGTCAAAAAGTTATAAATATAAAAAACAAGAAAACAAAATAAAAATTATATCTTATCTAATAAAAATGTAATAATAAATTTGTAGATGATTTTTATTATATTTTGGTGTTTTACAATTTTAATTTATATATATATAATGTTGATGTTAAAATAAATCAAACTCATATATTTACTGAAAGTTTTTAAAATGCTAATTTTAAAAATTTAAGTTACTAATTTTAGATAATGTTCTAATTTTATTTTGTTATTTTTAATGATAAAACCCTTCAATTATGTTTACTTAATATGGAGGTTTACTTGTTAGTTTGAGGATTTTTACCCAAAACAAACTTAGTTGAGGTATTTTAGAGTTATAATCTATTTTAAAAAGATAAGAAATCACTCATATATTTACAAAAAAAATTAAAATGCTAATTTTGAAAATTAAAATTACGCATTTTTAGATAAGGTTATTATATATATTTTTTATTTTTTATTTTTTATTTTTTATGTTTAATTCTAAAACCCCTAAACTAAAGTAGTACCGGTAATTATGACCGACAAAGGTTTAATTCATTAAGTAAAGTTAGTTGGGGGGTTTTCCATTAAATACTTAGTTTAGGGGTTTTTACCCAAAACAAACTTAGTTGAGGGGTTTTTATGTTAAAAGTCCTTTATGTAATTATTTAACTATTTCAAAACCAATAGTATTATATATATATTAAATGTTATATATCTACTCTATTAAAATAGAGTCATTCTTTTTATCTACTGATACAAGTTGTCATTTAAATTTGGACTTTTTCTAGAGTGTTACAAATAATACAAGTCATATAGTTAATTGAACTGCATTACTTAAATTAAACCGATGGATATTTATGTGATATAGTCTTGGGCTTACTTTTGTTTTTAGAACAAATTACATGGTTTGGTTTTTGGGCTTAGTATTAAAGAAAACTCCAAAAAACATTGAATAAACTTTCCACCTTAATGGATTAAAAAATCAGTTATTATTTTCAAGTCCAAAAGGTATTTAATATTTTTAAACAAAACAAAATTGTCTATTATTAATCATTTATTTAAATCATGTACTTTAAAACATGTTAATGTATTTTTTATTTTAAATAACAATCGTTTTGTTTTGCTAAATTTCAATGGTAACTTTTAAATAATTTTTTTTATTTCTCTTAAATAACTTACTAATTTATTTATTTAAAAAATAAACTATTGCAAATTTCTTTAAATTTTTTTTTGTCATCTTTTTGGTTTTAAATTAGATGTTCGATTATTTGAGATTTGTTTGTTAGTAATATCAGTTAAAACTAACTCAGCAGGTCTAAAATTTAAAAACCCAAACCAAAAGCTGAAAATCAAAAATAGAAACTTAAAAAATAAAAACCAAAATCTAAAACAAAATCTAAAAATAAAAACTGAAACTAAAAACTAATGAATACCAATCATTAACATAAATTTTGGTAAACTGATTTTATCTCAAAACATTCTTTAAATTAAGATAAAACCCAACTACCTAAATTTTTAATCATAAAAAATTTCCGCGCTTTTCAAGCGCGGGTCAAAATCTAGTTTTTCTATTAAACTTTTTGCCCGACTAGACGATTTGTTAATATGTATGCTATATTTAAGAGCATTGAATTATGTTAATACTTGTTCTATAAATGTTTTCGAAATGCATATTTCCTCTGTTTTTTATATTTGATATTTTAGAGAAACAAATTTTGTTCCATTATTAATAATTGAATTATGGCTAGATAAATAATTATTTATGTTTTTATTTAGAAAATAAAGTAAATTTAAATATTTTTTTAATCTATGTCTATAATCTTAAAACGTCAAATAAAAAAAAAATGGAAGGAGTATTTGTCAATATCATAATGTTTTGACCTAAATATACATGAACACAAACAGCTAAAATACACGTCCTGGTTTAATCAGTTGCAGACATCGATAATATTCCCATTTGAGAAGAAAATGACGGGTTCATATTTGGACTCCCCATTTTGTCTTGATCACCTTCTATAGTAAGCAAAGTATGATCAACAACACGACGCAAAACAACTAAGACCATAAGACCACTAGAGTTTTCTAGCTGTTCTGACGGTTTACTAAATGTGATTAAGATTTTGTTTCTTTGCTCGAACTTTTTTTTTAAAAAAAAGAAATTGATCGTTAAGAAATCGAAGAGCCAAGCGACTGGATTCAAACTGTCGTGTTATATGTATATATAAATAATATAAGTAAATTATGCTATAAAACAAGATATGTCAATTTCCGAAGCAAACTAGATGTATAGGCTTCTCATGACCTACAAAGAACACAATCCAACCAGCTATCTTTTGCCGCCCTATTTTATTAACGTTCGTATTTATCCTTGCTGTTTCTTTCATTTCCAAGACTTATGGCCATCCCTAATTAAAACACTTTCGAAAAAACATCCGTAATCCCCAGAAAGAATAAAGAAAATAGCAAATAATAAAATCACATAATCCAACAACTATATCCACCTTATATCAAATTTCACGTGGGGAAAAGATTTAAGTTATAGTTATGACATTTTGACAATGACAAGTACTGAGCAATCCCTTTCTATTAGACCTACTTATAGTAAAATAATTGACAATATTTTCAATCTTTAAGCTAATGATTGATTTTACATATAAAAAATGAATAGATCCAAATTGTTTTATTTCATCTATTTGGCTTCTCATTAAAAGTAAGCCTCTTTTTTACCATTTGAGCCGCTCCACGCCATGTTTTCAGAGTCTCCAGCACACACACACACACTCTATCTCTCTTCATTTAATTTGACTCTGTTCCACTCCCTCACTAAATTCCTATATAAATATGACTATGAGATCCCCCCATGACTTTCATGCATAAAGAACATGCAGAACGCTCCTTAAAAACCCTAGTAAAAATATAAATGGAAAACGAAGGGAGTGCAGGAACGGGAAGCAGTTCTCGTTGGAACCCAACGAAAGAACAAATAACGTTGCTTGAAAATCTTTACAAGCAAGGGATACGAACACCGAGCGCCGATCAGATACAGCAGATCACCGGTAGGCTTCGAGCGTACGGCCATATCGAGGGTAAAAACGTTTTTTACTGGTTCCAAAACCATAAGGCTAGACAACGCCAAAAGCAGAAACAGGATCGCATCACTTCCTTTAATCGTCTCCTCCACAAAACCTCCCGTTTCTTCCACCCTATGCCTTGCTCAAACGGCACGTAGTTTCTCGTCCTAACTCTTATTTGCGTATACACGCATCTTTTTATTTTTATTGATATCTTGATCACTCAACACAATCTTTTTTTAAAAAAAATTAGAACCTATTAATTTGTTCAGCACAAAATCTCACCTTCATTTCAACATATATAATGTTTGTATCTTAAAAGTTATTTTAACTAAACTAAAACTGTGTAATCAAATTTTTAGTAATTCTTTTTTCTAATATTTGGTGACTTTTTAACTTTATATTTTCAAATTTTTTTTCGTCTAAAAGTATGTCTTAATTCTTGTTCATTAACCAAACTATGATACATTTTGAAAAAAAAAAAAAAAAAAAAAAAATGATACATTTTGAAATATAGGAAGTGTCTCGTCTTCGTTTTTGGTACCTTTAGATTTATAAAGTTACTAATTGTAATATTTTGTTGTTGTTATGAAGTGGGCTGCGTTAGTCCGTACTATTTACATCAAGTAAGCGATCATCATAACCAACATGGAAGTGTATACAGACAAGATCTTCACAGTAACAAAGTGATGCTTCCAAGTGGTGGCTACCAGAAACGCACTATCACAGATCATAAGAAACATGTTTCAGACATAACAACAACAACACCTAGATTGTCTTCGAGTTCACTCAGATTTGACCGATTTGCCCTTGGTAATCACGGTTATTTTGGTGAGGGCCCCAACGTCAATACCAATGGACTGAAGACGCTTCCGCTTTTTCCACTTCAGCCTCTGGATGCGGCTAATGACGCTGTTGTTGGAAATTCCAGTTTTGCCCCTTGTCATGATTCTCCGGTGACTTATTGTGGCGATGATGGCGGACAAGAGCAGCCGTTTATTGACTTCTTCTCTGGTGGTTCTAGTAGGTTCGATAATAGTGGAAGCGGGTTGTAAGATGTAACGAAGAGTTTTAAATGAAAATAAACGTTTTCTTTTATCATTTATTAACAAAAAGTCTTGGAAAATGATGGACATTTGAAACGAGATGAAAAACTAACTGATTGAATCTAGGTACTTTTAACTGAATCTAAGAACTTTAGTTAACTTTTGAATTGAAAATAAAGTACTTGAAAAGGTTAACTTTTTTTAATACTTGATCTCCAAGTCTGTGTTCTCAATATTATGCAAGAAGTATCCAAAATTTGTTTGGCCATTTGACATATATCAAATTATTTTTTTGTCTTTAGGAGACTGATCATGGACAATATTCTTAATTTCTTATTGCTCATTAGCTAGGCAGTCTATGTTATAAGAACTCATAAACATATCACAAGATTTCGTATAGTTACGAGTCAGCATCTCTGATATACTCTGTTAGTATTCTATCCTATAGACAGGCCCGTCTCTGAGGGGTGGCAAGAGGGGCATAGGCCCAGGGCCCAAATTTTTTTTAACATAAATAGTATGGAAAAATGGCCCATATTTTTAAAAAAAAATTTATATAAGGGCCCAAAATATTTTTAGGTATCATATTTATATGTAAAAAAAAAGAGTATAACTATTTTGCCAAGGGCCCAAAAATATTTTGAGACGGGCCTGCCTATAGAGAAGCTTACATTATTGATTTGTTTTTTTCTTATGTTAAAAATTAAATTTAAAGGTTTGATTTTAGCCAAATATTAACGTTCTCGGCCCAGGCGAGGAACCAATATCTCTTTTGTCGATGGTGATATTTTATAATTGTTGAAGATTGTTTTTTTTCAATTTTTATTTCTTTCGATAAAATCAATATATTGAATTCATTATCGATGAACATCTATAGATCCAAATTGGGAGTCGGTTAACGTTATAGAACAAAAAAAGAAGGTTTAGAATTTTATCACACGATTGATAACCAAACATGGAAATTGCAAGAAGATTTAGAAAAAAGCTTCTTCAAATTTTAGTCTATGTATTGTAATGTTATCTTGCATTTTAGATATGCATTTAGTTGTATTTTTATTATTTTATGTGTAATGCTACATTTTATATAAATAAACAGCTGTTAAAAAGATTAACGTTCTCGGCCCACTTACATTCCATACAGAGGACAAAGCTGAAGCCTGAGGATGCATGCATGCACGCCTTGTTCCAATTGGTAAGTTCCTTATAATTCCCAAAACCTCTATTTTAATTATTACGAAGCTGTGAAAAGCATCAGGGGTGGACATTCGGATATCCATTTGGATTCGGTTCAGTTTGGATTTATTCAGATTTTCGGGGTTAGAGATTCAGCTCTATTCAAGTATTTATAAATTTTGGTTTGGATTCGGTTTAGGTTTGGATAACCTGTTTAAATTACTTTTAAAAATTTAAAACTCATATATATATATATTTAAAATTTTAAAAATCTAAAAAATAATAATGATATGTAACATATAAATTTGAGTAATGTATGCCAAAAGACCTCAACTTAACATAAGATTTGGTTTAACTTGAATATTTTGATGGTGAATCAAGTATTGACGGTGTTTTGAGTATTATTTAACTACTTTAAATATTTACTTTTGACTATTTGTAGATATTTTTAAATATATTTGGACAACCTCAAAAATTATTATGTGTTTATACTTTTTCTATACTACATCTAAAAATAACTAATATATTCAACTATATAAAACTGATTCAGATTTATTCAGATATCCAAAGTATTTCAGGTTTGGTCTCAGTGTTTTAGATACCAAAATTTTAAATCCGTTTAGATATTTAACCAATTTCGATTCAAATTCAGTAGTACATTTTGGATCAGATTCGGTTCGGTTCTTCGAATTCAGATTTTTCGCCAAGCCCCAGAAAGCACCATGACATAGTCAAAGTTAATGATGTTTACAACAGATCTGGAAACGTTTCTCAGAGAATAAAAATTCTCGCAAATTAATTATAGAATACAACTTTACTAAAGATTTAAAGGAATATGCACAAAACAATTCTTTGTGGTTGTATGCTGGAAAAAAAACATATTTATCAATGATTTCATATATACAGAATCATCCGTCTCTCCGAAAAAAAAATATATATATATATATATATATATCCTACACTTGCATAACTCTTCCAAAGTAGCACCAACAGATGCTTGGAAAGAAAGTAACATCTTTTCAGGTTTACATGGTATTTAGTGATAAATTAGTTGGGAGAATTTCAGTTCTTGTTTCTTCCTTTTTTAAATCAACTAAGAGACGGGAACCATGGTTAGAACTTGTACACATATGACACAACCAACCGAAGTATATATATAAGAAGAATGGGGATTTTTATATAAGGAAAACTAAGCGTGCAACAACTGGATAATTGAAATGGTTATCTTAGTGATACCACTTATTTATGTTAAATGATTTGTCTGGTTACTATGTTTTGTCGTAGATGATATATGACATGAGTGATGCCATATCGGTTGAGGAATCAACTAAGGAAGATTGTAAGTGCGAGAAAAAACTTGAGAAGGATGCAGTTGAAAATGAGGGGGCAGTTGAAAATAAGGAGGAGACAACTAGTAAAACTACTCATCTTAATATTCAACTATAATGATTAAAAAATGATACACGTTAAAACATGATGCACAATACAAAAAGAAATAACATAGTTGTACTAGTATTATAGTTGTACTAGTTTTTGAGTTATACCGATTTGTACGTAGTTGTATTTCGGCAGTAAAATAAAAAAAAACTAGTTGTACCACATAAAATTTAAACTTACTTAAGTTGTACCACTTCTCTATGTATACATGCATATGCCCTAATACAATAAAATCACCAGTTTTATTAAAATACATTTCATGTATGTTTTCCAAAAGTTATGTGGACAAGAAGTTGACAAACCTTAAAAGTATAAGGTAGATTATGCAAACTTATATGATTGTGTTATAATTACAAAAAAAAATAACTAATCTAATTAACAAACCTTTAAATATAAGGTATGTAATGTAACAATATAATAGTTGTAAGGGTTTTTGAGTTGTATCGGTTTATACATAGTTGTACTAGTTTTTGAGTTGTACCAGTTTGTAAATAGTTGTACTAGTTTTTGAGTTATACCGGTTTGTACATAGTTGTACTTTGACAATGAAATAAAAAAAATAGTTGTACCACATGAAATTTAAACTTACCTCAGTTGTACTACCTTTGTATGTGTATATATGTCTTCTCCCAATACAATGAGATCATCGATTTTGTTAAAATGCATTTCATATATGTTTTCCCAAAAATATGTGGACAAAGAAGTTAACAAACCTTAAAAGTATAAGGTATATTATATAAACTTATGGAGTTGTGTAATAACTTTCAATTTTTTTTTTCAAAACTTCAAATATATTAGGAGAAAAAATTCTGACTACATACCACTTTGGATATTTGATAGTGTTCTCATATGGAATACCAAATTGGTTTGCCAATTTTTGAAATGTCCAAGTTGTACCAGTTGTACTAATAATACTCGTCTAATATATAATAAAAAATTATAACAATTATATCAATTGTGTATATGTTTAATTTTAGAAGTTGTACCCATATTTTCATAATAATATAGCTAATTTACTTAACAAACTTAAATATAATATATATATAATGTAAATTAAGAGTGTAATGTAATAATTTAACAAAAAAATTAAAAACTTCAAATAAAATAGATGAAATTTTGTCATCATATACGAATTAGGATATATGTTTGTTTATTTCATATGTAAAACATGATTATTAGTCGTTTCAATTATAGTAGTTGCATATTATACATGAATTATAACATTTATATATCAGTTATATTAGTTATATCAATTTTTAACATGTACGTTTAGTTATACGAGTTATACTAGTTGTACCCAGTTTTCTCTTATCATCCGACGATTCAGACTATATTTCGCATTATCTGATCTAATAGTTCACATTGAATTCTCATTAATGGTAAAATGATCATTTTACCCCCTTTAGTCTATGGTAGATTTTTTTTGGAAGATGTAAATTAGTTTTGGGTCATTTGTCCCATAATCGATTTTTGTCCACAAACGATCAAAACAGATATGTTAGATCATTAAAAGAATTTAACCATATCGTATAATCAAGTAAAAATTATAATAAAAATATGTGAACTTGCACAAAAAAAAGAGAACAAAAAGACACTTACTTGTTGCAGTTAGTCACCACACTTTCTAGAAAGACTAGAGGCTAAACTTAGGTTGAGACCAGCAATGGTCTTTACGGACTGTAGGCATTTGCATGCTTGTTGACGGTCTGGTCTGGTTTGAACTATACAGTTAGCACATGGAGCCAAGCTACTTGTCAATATGTCACATGAGATTGCTAAATCTATGCTACAACGCACACAATCAAATGAAATAAAAGCAGAAGATAAAAAATATTAAAAAAATAAAGATAAAAAATAAAAATGGATCAAAGTTTGTGATACATTAGGAATAATATTTTAATATCAGATCAAATATACAGCATATCCTACTCATGCTTTTAAAGGACAATTAAGAAAAACAAAAAATATGAAAAATAAAAATGGATCAAAGTTTGTGATAGAAGAAATATATATTAATATTACATAAAATATACACCATATTCTAGCCATATTTTTGATATAATTATATATTACTTAAAATATACAACATATTCTAGTCATGCTTTTGATATAATTATATATTAAGTCATATATTTCATATTACATAAAATATACAACATATTCTAGCCATGCTTTTGATATAATTATATACTACATTAAATATATAATATATTTAGCCATGCTTTTGATTTGATTACACAATGGAATTTCTCTGTTGTACTATTTTGCTAAAGAATCTTCCTTTTAATTTTGTCAATGTTAAGCGATCTTATTACTGTACAGAGAAAAAGGGGATACTATTACTAAATATCCCTCAAACATAATATCTCAAAACAACCAATCTGTTACACGACTAATCAATTCCTTAAACTCTTAACGTTAGATATTTATGTAGTCTCCAACATACTGTTGTATAAGGAACAAATGATTCTCGGTAGTATCTAGTGGAAGAAACAAGAATGAATGGACAACGTAAATGCAATCCAACTACTAAGTAAAAAGTAAAAACTCTACTTAATCATCGTTTTTCCAATGTAAAGTTTCTATATAAACCCATCACCACCTCACACTTTTCTCACATCTGATCTAACCACAACCACACGCTTAGAAACACAAAACTCAACTATATTCCCCTTGTTTTCTTATCAGAAAATCAAAACATAATGGCTTTTGTTCTGAGGTTCTTTACATGCCTTGTTTTGACGCTATCTATGGAAAGGCGGGATGATGATTCCCCATGCTGTGTAGGAGTTACAAAATTGAAAGATATGGTTCGACCCACCCTTGATCGCCAACAAGCATGCAAATGCTTAAAGGCCGCTGCACAGGGCATCGACCCAAGTATAGCCTCTAGCTTTCCTGGAAAGTGCGGTTCGCATTCTGTATCCCATCTCCATGAACACTAACTGCGACACGTAAGCTTTTTGTTCTCTTTCCTTAAGTTTAAATTCACATTATTTATTTTTTTCCTTATGAGAACTGGTTTTTATTTTTAACACTAGAACTGGTTATCTATCTATTGTTTAACGTTATTAATTACTCGATCTAGAGACCCTTTTTCTTTTTAAGGAGCCAAACTTAGATTCTTGGTCGATTGTATTGTTGCAGCGTCCACTGAAGTGGGAACTCATATCGTGTGGACAGGGTCGGTCCAAAATTATTAAAGATCCCACATAAATTCAAAATTTTGGGTTTTTTCCTTTAAATAAAAAATTTCAAAATTTTTTGAGTCTTCTTTTTGTAAAAACACCTCACAACAATTCGGACTCTAAACTGCTGGTGGATGAAATGTATTGTATAGCAAAAGCAAAATAAAAAGGTGTATGTACGCTGACCTCAGCATGCCCTACTTGTCTTGTAATAACAAAATAAAAAGTTTTTCATGTACTTTGTAATCAGTCTTTTGCTATAGATTGCATCTTAATTATATTTAAGAAATGATAGTAGTGTCTTATGAGTAATCAGTTTAGATTTACCAACTAATAGGATTATGTTATTATATATTTAATATCTTTTAAAAAATAAAACAAAATATTGTCAAATTAGATTATGTTTTTAAACTAACAAGATAAAAATAATAATAGTTGTAAAAAACTAATTTTTTTAACATCATCAGCAAAACGCTAAATCATAAACCCTAAACCCCTGGATAAACTATAAATCCTTAGGTAAACTATAAATCCTCTGATAAATATTAAACACTATTTTAAAAAATACTAAACATTAAATTTTAAAAACACTAAACCTTTAATAATAACCTCTACACCCTTGGATAAAAATAAATAAAATTTAAAATATTTTTAACCGTCAGCAAAACACTAAACTCTAAATACTAAACACTAAATTCTTACCATTGGATAAACCATAAAATCCTATGATTTATAATTTATCCAAGGGTTTAAGGGTAGAATTAAGGTTTTAGTGTTTTTAAAATTTAGTGTTTAGTGTTTGTGGTTTAGAGTTTAAGATTTATCCGAGGGCTTAGGGTTTACTTAAGGATTTAGGATTTAAAGTTTAGTGTTTTACTGACGGTAAAAAAAAAATTGGCAGCTATTTCTATTTTAATTTATTTTTATCTTTTTATTTTAAATACATATTATAATTTGAAAATATTTTGTTTTCCTTTTTAAAAGATATCAAATATATAATAATACAAACTTATTAGTTGGTGAACCTAGAGAGTAAACCTAAGAATAAGTTGTATCTTATTAATCATCTTCTCTTTGAATATTTTCTCCCAATTCGTAGATATTGATTATACAGTCAATTAGACTACTATAACCACTAATAACGGAGAGATATAATTGATCAGAGTACATGTGTGCTTTGTGTTTAGGTTTCTTCATTAGTTTTGGATACATGAAATGGGTTGTTTAGAACATAATTGTTTCTGCGTAAAGTGTAAAAACAGATATGTTCACACTTTTTTTTACAGCACCTTAAACTGTAAAGCATATAGTCTTCATGATTATAGGTATGCATAAGACTATGATTAACCTCAGTCTCTTAAATATGGTTCTTAGATTCGGTTTAGATACATTTCTTTTAACTAAATGTGTCAAATCATGAATAAAGAACCTCAAATAAAAGACCGGGATTAATCATGCTCTAAGGTAACAAAAGTATCAATCAACTCCTCACAAAACTCCATCTTTTATGTTCATCCACTCTTCTATGGAACTTATTATCGTTGGAATTGATATAGTTGAGAGTACATATATTTTACAGTTACACTGGAACTATAGCTTTATGGAATCTCCATCAGCATTGGTCGGTTCCCTATTTATTGCACTAGATACATATCAAAGAGATTGACATAAGATCGTTTTACTGCATGCAATAGTTAAACTCTTATCGACTCAGGGCTTGGCTTTGACCGGTGGGTGGCGATTTCCTGTTGGGTTAGGTTCTGATGGGTGCTTATGCCCCATTTTTCGTCCATAAGATAAATGTCACACCTATATGTTCTCCGGCTTCTAATGGTTAGATCAAAAACAAAAATTGATCTCCTCGGTCCTTACCCAAGTTGGCATCACTCTTTCGTAATTCGCTTTTGTGGTGATCTTTTCAGCTTCACTCTTAAAATGGACTGAGACAGGCAGACGACAGAGGTTAGTATGTAAGAGTGCCAAAGAATTATTCCCTCATTTTAACGCGTTATAACCAAACATACAAACGCACATAATGAGTCATGAGATTACCTTCTTGGCATTGGCGAGTCACAGTTTTGCCGAGAAAGAGGCAAGTGAGAAGGAGAAGCTTAATGATTACAACATGTCTTCTCATATTTTTAGGTAGAGAAAGCTTATTTTCTACATGTAGGATCATCATCATATATATATTGTGCAACAAAGCGCGGTAGCTAGTTTAAAAAAAAAAAAAAAAAAAGAGCGATAGAACAAATTTGTCACATCTAGTTGGTACTCTCCTTGTAAAATCGTAATGATAACTTCATTTGAAGAACCCAGGTAAGATTCTCGGGTTAAATGTCTTTCCTCGTGTGGAGAGTGTTGTCATTTTAGGTCATTAGGCTTTATTGGGCTAACATTATACAAAGCCTCGGAAGCGGATTTGTTGGATTCACTGTGCCAATAGAGGGTTAACTCTTCGAGCCGAAAAACGTCTAAGTTCAGTCTGTTAAGTGTCCGTTAGTTAGTTAGACTTAACGACTAACGAACTTCATCTTCTTCGTTGTGATATAAAACAGAGGAAGCCAAAAGGAAAATAGTTACGGTTTACAAGATAAAGAGTCAGAAAAGATACTAAGGCGGAGGAGAAAACTCGATCAAGAACAAAGAGATCCAAAGCGTGATCACAGCTCTTAGGGTCATCCAGCTTTCTCTTGATCAGTCTGCGTGTCCTCTTCATCTTCAGAGGAATCAGAGGCTGATAGTGAGTCGTCTTCTTCGCAGTTACCTTGGTACTCTTCTTGGAATATCTCTCGGTATAAAGTCTTGTAATACCTGCACAAGAAAGTGCAAAAGATCGAGTTAGATCGCAGCTATTGTATCATATAGATCGATAATGAAAAGCATGAGAGTCTAGTTCTCTCTCCAGTCATTAGGAAACGAAGACTGGGTCAACAAAATCTCTGTGTTGTTTTGCATAAGATTGAACGGCGTAGTATCACTAGATAAGTATCAATTCAACAAGATAAAGAAAAGAACTCATGGATAACTTGTTAAAGAAGCAATCTAACTTAGTCTGATACCTAACACCTAGGAATGCTATGCAATCATTACAGCTTATTTCATATATCTTATTTTTTAATACTATTCAGAAAAGCTTGTATGCTTCGTTCGTTTGCCTTGCATAGCAAATCCATATTTTGGTCAAGTATGTTTCCAATAAACACTTATCATCAAGAGAATTTTGTATTAGTTTGTGAGTCAGTCCGGCTTGAGTAGATCTTAATCAGCATTTTCCACTGAGTCTCATTTTCCAAGCCTAAAGTGATTTGCAGTATGTCGACGAGCTGATCCTTGATTAATAAATAAAATTTATTTTGTGTGTTTGTAATTTATTGATCACGACAATATTGAGAATGATTAACGTGGCTTTAGTCACGGACCCTCACACGTAAAGTCCGTATTATTCATGATGACAACTTGATTTGAGATATCGATAATTATCAAAAAGGAATTGATATACAAAAATAGTTTATCGATGGGTTGTGTTAAGGAAAACTACAAAACCTTAAATCAATGCAAATTTAGATATATGCAAAAAAACCCGATCCATATTTTTATCTATATACAGTAGAACCTCTATAAATTAATACTCGTTAAATTAATATACACTAAATATCTCTATAAATTAATATAATTTTATAGTTCCAAATTGAGTTTTTGGTTCAGTTAGTATATCTATAAATTAATATCTCTCTAAATTAATAAAAAAATAAAATTTTGGTGTACTCCCAACATTATTAATTTATAGAGATTTCACTGTACAATGGTTTCAACACCTTCTTCACTTTCAACACTCTTATTTTTATTTCACATCATCTCCTTTTTCTTCCACCTAATTTATTCAACACCCACTTTATTTTAAACATCTACAATGGTTTGTTTTAAAAATTTCAACACTCTATCCCACAACTTTTAATTCTTTTTTTTTACAACATAATAATTAAATATTAATACTTAACTTAAAACTAAAACAATATAAAATTTAATAATATGTATTTTAAATTATTATACAAAGTTTATTTTTAGTAATATTAAGATCAATAAAAACTAAAATTTAAATTTTAATAATTTTTTTTAAAATTATTATCTAAAAATGACGTTTTGTTTTTGGTATCCAAATGAAATGAGACTAGACTCTATTGATAGATAAAGAAAAATCTTGAATATTGATATAATTTTTATATTTTTCTAAAAAGCTTTCTTATATAAAAAATACGTTTGAAATATTGGGTGAAAAAAAAAATTAAAAGAAATCTGCATAGTCAATCAAGAAACGACATGCGACAGCCTTGGGTCACAAAAAAAAAGTTTCAACATGAAATTTTACAACGGATGTTTATGCCATATAGATAAACCAAATTTATCAACATTTTCATTGTAAAGGTTTTAACAGTTGAAAGGGGTTTTCAACACCCTCATTGTATGGTCTTAAGGGTAGATATTCGATAATCGATTTGAAGTATATACACCCATAATAATCTATTTGGTATAGATTATAATTTGATTTTTTATATGATTTTTTTTCATTCGGATTCGGTTGAATTTAGTAAAAGGTCTTATTATAAGTATACAAAGTTACAAACATAATCAAATGTACTAGATTTTGATATGCGCTTAGAAAACGCATGTTGATTTGTTTTTTCATTTATTAATAAAACTAATTTAAAAATTGGTCTATAATAATGTTCGAGGTTAAGAATTTTTTTTATATTTGTTTCAGACCCGTGGATGAATCCGTAGATTCAATATCTTGTATATTGTAATATGGTTTGGATTTAAAGAAAAAAACATTAATTAAAAAAGATAAAATCCGGTAAAAAAGCAAAAAAAACCATTATTAATCTGTGATATAATACAACCAATCCAAAAAATACAAAATATCTGATTATATTTTTATATTTTTAGTTGCATTATTCATATAATTTTTAGTATTGTATAAACTTGTGATTCCTTAAATTTTGATGAAATTTTTATCAGTGACATTAAAAAAAATGATAATATAAAAAACTTACTTACATGATACTATTAGTTTACTTTTATTATTAATAACCTATCATAATTTTACACTTTATTTTATATTGAAAATTTAATTTTTTGATAATTTTAAAAATACTTTTAAACACTCATATTTTTCATTTCAATTTTGATGTATAAAATGAAAAAATAAATGATATTTTTTTAAACATTTTATATATTATTTTTTGATCGTTGAATAATATTATACGCAAAAATTAATATTCAGATATGTAAATGATTATGGTGTAGCCTGTAGGACATAGAGTTTTGGTTTGTAATGCATACTATTTGAATGGTCTATTTGAATGTTGATACATAGGTTTAATAAAATAATATCTTGATATTATTATGTTTGTTTTCATAAATATTTATTTTCCATGATTTTACTCCAGATTATCTAACAAATGAACAATAATGATCCATTGTACTAATTAAATAATTGTATGAGACTAATATTAGATGTGTGTTAAAAATGATTAGTTGTATATTATATACATATAGTGGAGTCCAAGCTGTGAATAACCGTTTATACATGAATTATTTATTGTTTGACTAATGTATATAATACAAACCGGTTTGAAATTAAGGTTACAAAAAGTATTAATGCACGTTATATTAGTTTAAGACGATTATGGTAAATAATAGGTTTAATTTAATAACTAATAGGTCCAATAATTAAAAGGTAAGTTAGTGGAATATGAATTAAAATCTATTAGGATTAGTTAAATGTATTGAATCTTATATAGTTAGAGAAATTTAAAATATGACAAAAAATAAAGAATTAAATAAAAGAGTAGAAACAATTTTCATAGATAATTTTTTTAGAACTCTTTCTCTTTTAATAGTATTGATTGAATCTTGTATTTATTTAGTCGAGTTAAATCTTTCTACCAATAGACAAAAAAAAAACGAAGCACGAACCGAAAATCTATCAAACCAAACGGAAACCGGTTTAAAATATAAATTTAGAAAAATTAACCGAAGGTAGAAGAAAGTCTCTAAAAGCATAGAATGGACTGTCTCTAGCTGATCACACCTCCTTCCATGTGTTCTCATGATGATATTTCAGAACCTTCTACTATCTCCCGATCTCCCACTTTAAAAATTCTCAATCTCTTTTGAGTTTCAAGCTCGAATCCTCTCTATCATCACAATCCATGGCATCATCGCAAGCTAGCCTTCTCCTTCAGAAACAACTCAAAGGCACGCACAAAATCAATCTGGTACTTAACGGTTCTCCACTGACTGCGTTAATTTTTCTCAATTCGATCTTTTGATTGTCTTGATTCAGATCTGTGTAAGCATCCTGTTGATGGATTCTCCGCTGGACTCGTTGACGAGAAGAATATATTCGAATGGAACGTTACCATTATCGGACCTCCCGATACTCTCTAGTACTCTCTCTTCCCCTTTGAGATTGAAACGTTTTAGATCAACGTTGAATAATTGAATTGGTTTTGAATAGATTAAGAGAAATGAGAATATTGATTTGTTTGATTGTGCAGTGAAGGAGGATTCTTTAATGCTATAATGAGTTTCCCGCAGAATTATCCGAATAGTCCACCCAGTGTTAGGTTTACTTCAGATATGTGGCATCCTAATGGTTAGTTAGAATCTGAAATGGAGAGACAGTTTTTTTTTTTTTTTTTTTGCGTTGTTTCTATTCTAAGTGGCTTTGAATTGCAGTTTATTCTGATGGTCGTGTTTGCATTTCGATTCTGCATCCTCCTGGTGAAGATCCTAGTGGTTATGAGCTTGCTAGCGAGCGCTGGACACCTGTTCATACTGTATGGCTATGATTGATTTTGAGGTTTTGATTCAGAGTGTAGTGTTACCATACTTAAATTGTGGTGTTTCAGGTTGAGAGTATAATGTTGAGTATTATATCTATGCTTTCTGGTCCTAACGATGAGTCTCCTGCAAACGTTGAAGCTGCTGTGAGTATTATCTCTTATCTGATTCACTTGGCTTTGGAAGTAGGAAAAGGTCTTGCTCATGTGTTGTTGTTGTGTGTTTTGCTATTTGCGTAGAAAGAGTGGCGTGAGAAGAGAGACGAGTTCAAGAAGAAAGTGAGCCGGTGTGTGAGAAAGTCTCAAGAAATGATGTGATGAGAGTACTCCCAACTTCCACACTTCTGATACCTCTCTCGAGTTTCTCCATCAAAGTTCTTCATATTCTCTTATCTGAAAACCCTTCAGGACTGTCCAAACACAGCTTGTTATAAACCCGGTTTACATCGTTTTGTTGCGTTTGTGATCCAGAGCTTTCTGAAATGTGTTGTTGCATTCTTGAGAAACTGGTTATCATTATCATATATAACTCTATTCGTTAAGACTTAATAATCCTTCTTTGTTCTCAATTTTTTGGCTTCCCGACGTTGAACTACTATGTCTAGCTTCAGACTGTAGCGTCTCCTTTTGTAACAATCCTATGTCCTTTACATTGTCATTGCTTGGGGATCAATTCAGTTTTGTATTTTGTACATCCATCCATGTACAAAGCTGGTTGGCAATTACTCCCCCTAAGCTTTTTATTGTTGCACCTAGCGTTGTTCTCCGCAGGTCCAAGTGATCTCGAGATGCATCTATATAAGGAATCTAAGTGGGAACAACAATCTTACTATAAATACAAATCCATCCAAGCTCGCCAGTTTTCCATAACTAGCAGATTGGAGAGTGTGACCATTCCATTGGGATAATTACTCAAGTCAAAACAATATATAGCTGAATTTTCAGTTAAGTTACTTCACATAACCAGCCAGAACTGAACAGCATTTTGGGTTCTACAAGACTTTTGATTCTTAGTCTATCTATAAGTTGTCTTGATTCTTGAGTCTACACAGGCAACAACTCTTTTTTTTTTGTATAATGAGTTCTTAATAAACCTATATGGAGTTTCCTTCACAATCCTATGTGAAACTGTGTTGGGTTTAATATACCAAAATATATCAATAGGTTTAAGGTACTAAAAATAATACCCGTTTAAATAATTATATCAGCAGTTAATTTTGCATCTTCTGGACCAGTAGACAATTTAATTTATCTGAATAAATTACTAGACAAACAAAAAACAATCGCAGATAAGGAAACTCTGTAAACGAAAAAGGAAAATCCATGACGCCGCCAGATAATATTTCCTTTTCCCAAATGTATTAGTACTATTACTTGCATAGTAAGTTGTAACTAGGAAAATAAGAACACCTATAAATACACATCGTTACACCACAGATCTCCTCAACACATTCTCTCATTCTCCACATATCACACAGAGTAATCAACGTTCTAATACAATGGAAAACACCAATCCCTTTTCAATGTCAACAATGCTCAAATCTTTACAAGATCTCCGTTCTGCCACAGAGAAGTATCCGGCGATTTCTCCTCCTCATCCATGCCCCTGCGAACACTGCGCAACCCTAACTCCTCCTCAAGAACCACCTGAGACGCCTCTGCAACGGTTGTTCAACATAATGACAAGAAGCGAAGAGGAAGATGCTTACTCTCCGTTTAAAGACTTCATCTCGAACCTAGACAGAACAAAGCTTCTAGGGTTGGCGTCTCTGCTGACGTCAGATCCCGACTACTTCTTGGAGATCGCAAGAAACAAGAACGGCTCCAACCGCCTTCAGAAACTCCTCGGAAAATCAGATGACGTGGACAACTTACTCTGCGCCGCTATCTTGTACCGTTTCCTCCACGTCATGACTAACAAGAACGCGTCCTTCGTGGCGACACGGGGGTTAAGAGTGTTCGCCGGGAAGAAGAAAGAGTTCATGTGCGAGGAACTCATCCACAACGCGCTTCACCTCGCGCGTGACCAACACGGCTGCGTTGCACTCAACGAGATGTTAACCGACTTGGACCATCCTTACTACAGAAACCAGCTCTTGGACGTGGTCGCGTACAACGCTCTCTGGCTGAGCAACGACGCTTCAGGGAACTTTGTGGTGCAACACGTGCTTAAACTGAAAGACCCGAGAGCCACGCGTAACGTTGCGCTTAGTCTACGTGGCAACTGTATTGATCTGTCGTTTAAGAAGTATGGGAGTTACATAGTGGAGCGGCTTTTGGAGGCGGATGAGTCTGTGGCTGTGGTGGTGATGGAGCTTTTGGAGAGCGATGAAGATAGGTTGATGAGGCTTGCGAGGAGTGAGTTTGGGAATTTCGTGGTGAGCAAGGCACTGAGAGTCACGCAGAAGAGGATGACTAGGGTTGATCTGTTTCGAGGTTTGGTGCATAAGCTCATGCCTTCTCTCAATTTCTTGCGCAAATCTCGTGGAAGCAACATTGCAGTGTTCTTGGAGTCGGTTTATCAATACTGAAGTAGCTTATAGCTTTTGTTTAAAGTAGTTTCTAGTACACGTTATTCAATTTCCTTTTTCTGTTATGAATAATCTGATTTCAATTCAATAAAATCTATTACAAAATATATTGTATCTGTAAATTTAGCTCATATGGTTAGGTTACATATTGAGTCTTCTTTTTTTTTTCGGTTTTTGCTTTAATACCTCTCTCCAAACCGGAGAAAGAAAGCGCCAGTTCCACGATTGTGATCGACAGCATACTCAGCTCGTACTTGACCGAGTTTCACACCAACACCATACGATGAGCCATGTCCCATTCTCCGGTAAGCCTCCGTTGGGTTCCCTTTCACGTCCTTTGAGCTCCCTAAGTCGTTTCCATGCTCAGCAAATGCATACACATGTGTGTTCTTCACAGGGACTCTAATCTCAGCACTTAACTATTATAACATCAAAAAACACCATTCAGAACTTTAATGAACAAAAATATATAAATGATTTATTATGTATTTATAAGAGTTTGCTTAATATTTGGTTACCTCGAGAATGTTTCTCGCTGCACCAAGCTCTCCCATGCTGTAGCCTCTCACCGAGTGAGGTCCACCAATAGAAAAAGCTTCGTAGCTTGGAAGATCACCTACACAGCCACCGTAACGGCCATGGAGGACTAGCACTGGTGGTTGTGGCTTACTTTTTCCTTCTTTAACACGCTTCAGCTGAATGAATTTTGTCAGACTTAGTTGGTGACGGTTGAAGACTGGGAACTTGCTTCCTATACCCAATCCTTGATCCACCTGAAAGACACTCCTATCTCCAACAATAGCACCATTCACAAACTTGGTGTTGTCTCTTGTTACGTTCGCTTGTAGAAACGCTACACGGTCAATACCAGTGCCACTTAGAGTTGTTGAAGGACCATCAACACTGGTTCCTCCACTAGGTAATAACCTCAGACCATTTGTAGAGATTTCAAAATTTCTATCTCGGGTTGTTATTTCTTCCAACACAAGTCCGTATGTAGATTTACTCTGACGGGTGAAGCTCTGCACAAAATAGGGGTTTATTAAGTTGCTTGTGAGACAAGGAAAACACGTTAGACCATAGGCGACTTAGTTACCTCAGTAATATTAGCTTTCAGACCAGCTCGGTCCACCAACATTGGAGGCACTACATCCTCAAATCCAGGTCCCCCAGTGAACACTGAGCTAAGTTTTCTACTGTTGAAGGCACTCGTTTTGAAGACACGGTTTCGAGGACTGTAAACACCGTCTAGATATGGGTGTACATACTCAAGGTTAAACCCAAGATCATCCTAAGTGAAATATACGTGTGCATATAGATAGATACATGTTATCAAAATACAATATGAACTTAGATATGTATTAGAAACAGAAGCATGTATATACCTCAGGACTCAAGAGGTTGCTAGTGGCCAATGAACCCATGAGAGACCGGTTAAGACCCTTGATGTTTTTATGTTCCAAACTAACAGATCCACCCGGCTGGAACGACTCCTAAACAATGAACATAGAAAAGTCAGTGGAATTTTTTTAAAAGTTTCCAAATTTTACTAGACAATGAGTTAATAATACAACTGCATACCAAAGAAGGAGCTCCTCCAGGTCCAGGAACAATACTCCATTCTGTAGTGACTTCTGCTGATTTTTGATCTGCCTCCCTAAGATTGATCTCAACAACTACACCTCCTTCGTTTTTCTCATCTGCACGTGGATTGATCTCGACGCTAGAGAATACCTTTAAAGAATTTATGTTATTCAGAGCTTGGTTCGCAGCGTTCATGTTGTGCACATGACCTGGACGAAGCTGTCCAACCAAACAACACACACATAAATTTCTTCACAACTTGGTTACAATATAATATTAAACTTTCAAGAATACGTTACCTGTTTGGGAATTTCCCTATGGATGACAGGAAGCTGTGTGTTACCTTCAACGACATTACCAAGCTTATCACGAAACTGGATAACAACCCTTGTTATGTCTCCTTCCACAACTTCACAGACAAGTTCCTTACTGTTCAAGTTCCCAAAGTTGACAACTCTAGCAAACCCGTACCCATTGTCATGATACCATTTCTCAACTCGATCACCAAGCCTCCTTAGAAGCCTCGCACTTAACTTGCCTTGGTCCTTAAGCATAAGCATCACCTCTCGTTGAACCTGTCCAGGAAGTATACAAGGTCTCGCCTTCCCGATCATCCTTTTGTACTCCTTCTCTTGGCTCCTTAAATGCTCAATCATCTCTCTATCCGTCATGTCTGCATCAGTAGCTATCGGCTTAGGCTGTGTCAGTAGCCCCACGTTGATGCAACGGAACCTCTCCGCTGATTTCCACATGCTCTCCACGAAGGAGATTGTGAGACCTAGGGTTCCGTCAGGTTTCGTGTTCCCCAAGAGATCGACTTTTTCGAACATACCTGAAGAAGCTAGGGCTTTAAGCTCCTTCTGAAGTTGAGCTTTTGTGTAGGCTTCTCCGGGATGAATCGGTACCATCTCGGAGAAGGAGTCTTCCGCGGAGGCGGTGGTTTTGCTCCGCCGGTCAAAGAAGAGAACATCGGAGATTTTGTACTTTTTGAAGCGGCTGAGCTTGTTCAGCTGAACAGCAATGTTCGCCGGTAAACCGTGAGAATCCCAATCCGGTGAGTGTTTCTCGTCCGCGGCGGCCACTGGAGTCGCCAGAGAGAACAAGTCCCTCCAGACGCCACCGTCTCCGTGGCCTCCTCCTCCTCCTCCTCCGCCGCTGAAAATCGACGAAATCGAGCCGAAGACGAGAGACTTCCCCAACGCTTTTAGGAGATGATCCTTAGACGAAGGCTCTGTGTTCCGGTTAGGTGAGGTGTAGCAATATTTAAGAGATGGGAAGCGAGGGGAAGCAGGAGGAGCGTTGTAGCGGAGTTCCTGAGAGGAAGAAGGGGCAGGATATTTACGGCGAGTGGAGAGTTGATAGGGGGTGGTTAAAAGCCCCGGTAACGTGGTTAGCTGTCCGTTGGTGGCGAATGTTGCCATGGCTGAGAAGAGAAGAAGAAGGTCTTTTCTTGCGGGGAAAGCTATTGACCTCTGGGTTTAGCAGAAATAGTTGTGTAGGTTAAGACAGCGCACATAATATATACATATTTTTACGTATTTTATTATTTATAGTTTACATTTTTTTTGGGGACAAATTATTTATAGTTTACATATTATGAAATAATAAATACTAGATCTTTATCCGCGCAACCGCGCGGATATTACTTTCAATTTTATATAGATATGTTATTTATTTTATGAATATATATTTTTAACGTTGAACATATATTTAAATGTTTATATAAATGTATTGTTAGTTTTAAGATGTTCTTATGTATTAAGAGAATAAAAATGAAAATAAATATGTGCTTTTCATATGGTTGTTGAGAAGCCAGTAACTATCTATTATCTATTATATAAAGGAGTGTTTCCCTCCTTCTCAAGGGTGCCACATAGGCTCCATGTCATTATGTCCACCTAGGATTTTTTGTGCCACATAGATAAGTCCTTTTAAATTTTAATTTCTTTCACAATCATCTTCTCTATTATTTTTTTTTTTTGATTCATACACTCTTATAATAGTTTGAATCTCTAGCAGGATTTTCAAGGAGTGTCCTCATCCATATGATAAGCAGAGGAACCAACTTGGCAGAGAATTGGGGTTTGGGTCGAAGACAAATCAAGTTCTGGTTCCAGAAAAGAAGAACTCAGCTTAATGTTATATGTGTTAATCTCTCTCTCTCTCTCTCTCTCTCTCTCTCTCTCTCTCTCTCTCTCTCTCTCTCTCTCTCTCTCTCTCTTGTGTGTTTAATTTTTTTCTGAACAACCTCGAAAAAGTTGTTTTGTGTGTTTACACAGGACTCTGATGCTGGAGATAATGTTTGTGTATAAGAAGATTAATGAGGTTGAGTGCACCGAAAGGAGATGATGAAGAGAAAGATGAAAGCTTGGAAAACAAGGAAGTGATTGAGAAGGTAACGTTGAAGTGTTGCAGGAGATGGGTTTGGAGAAGTCTTTTTTGAGAAACCTAAATTTGATACTGAACAGCTTATGAGTAGTATATCTAAAGTAAAGGGTCCGGAGAAGAAGTTGGAACTCTATTGAATCTATGGATTTTGATGATAAGATCCATGAAATCAAAACAATGGCTAAACGAGCACATGAGATATAAGCTGGTTAAACAAGAGTTTTGGAAGGCGATTATGAGCATACCAGAAGTATCTAGATCTCGGATAATATGCATATGCAAAGATCAAGCTGCAAGGAATCCATAGGAAGAAACCGTGTTTAAATCAGAAGTAAATTCCATCCAGAAATCTATACGAAAGTTGATGAAAAGTTTTATGTTTCGCTGATCCAAAAACCTGCAATTTTACCTTTGAGTTCAGTGTGTATGTAGGCTACTTTGGAGGTGATTTTCAACCAGATATAAGGAAATTGGATCACAATAAAGTTATATATGGAAAGATCCCATTGTAGAGAGTTCATTGGATCAATCGAATTATGAATATAATTATAAACAATTCATATATCATCTTCAAAGTTGGGCCAAAATCATCTGAATCTGCAGATACAGACAAAATTGTTTGGTAACAACATTTTTAGAAGATTGTTTGACAAGGTTAATATATGCTGATCGAGTTGAAATATGGTATATGTTCTCATGGCATGTGAGGCTTCATAATCAACGGTGGGATTTAGGAGTGAACGGTTCATTTGTTAATTATTCATGTTTTCTTGAGCATGTTTGATGTAATATAACAAAGTATGACAAACCTCCAATAATCCAGTTCAACGAACAACTTATATGGATCCATTTATGTCTCTCNATCAACGGTGGGATTTAGGAGTGAACGGTTCATTTGTTAATTATTCATGTTTTCTTGAGCATGTTTGATGTAATATAACAAAGTATGACAAACCTCCAATAATCCAGTTCAACGAACAACTTATATGGATCCATTTATGTCTCTCAGATAATGTGTAGAGCTTAGTGTGGCAGATAAAACTGAAGTTGTTTTGTTGGGGTTTCAATGGGGAGATGACAAAACAACTAACATTAGAGCTGCAAAGTCCGGACATCTTATTTTGTTTAGCTTTATTTTGATTTTTTTTACATATAATATTATTCTACTTTTTATAAGAAATGCAAATTTAAATTTAGCCTGAATTCAGCATGTTGAAATAATATGATTATTTGATAAAAAAAAAAAATTCTAGAAAGACTAAAACGTGATACTACTCCAATCAGAAGTAATCAAAATACCATTCTTGAAATGAATCATTAACATACAAATTTTTTTAAATTATTTGTATTGTTTTTTGAATAAATGATATCATTTAATTTTACCTAAACAATGAATATATAAATTAGATATACTTATTATGATTATAAAAATATATAATATAAGCACAAGAAAGTAAAATATAACTAAATTAAATAGCATATATATATAATAATTAAAAACATAAATAATAATTAAGATAACCAATTGAAACAATAAAGAAATCTATAAACTTTATATAAATATAGTATTAGAATAATAATTGCTTGATATAAATATAGTATTGTTTATATAAACTTTAGATTATTTTTTTATCATGTCAAATTAGAATAGAATTATAAGAATATATATATATATATATATATATATATATATATATATATATAAACTTTTTTTATTAATTTTGCATTCTTTAAAATAGAGAATAGTGAAAGTTACTGTCATTTTAATTGAAACAAAAATATTTCTTAGAAATAACAATAGATTTTAAAATTCTTTTTATTATTTGTTTGTTTATAATATTGTTTTCAAGCTATAACAACTTTAAATGTTTCATAAAATAATATGAATTTCTGTAAAATAGTTTTATTATATCTTCCCGCCCGTAGGGCGGGCCAACCCTATTCTATTATATAAAGTAGAGTTGGATCACTCCTTAGGGTGTCCACGTAGGCTGACACGTCAGTAAGTCCACGTCAGCTAAGGATTCTGTTGTTGGGCCGCCCGTTTGGGATTCAGTAAGTCCTCTACCCAGACTCCCCAATTTACGACCTTTCTCAATTAGGGTTTCCTCAGACGCTTACCCTCGTCGGCGTTTTACGGTTAGACGTTGGGTTTGTCGTCACGGTGGCTTATGCTCTGTTTTATATCTGTTTGGATAAGAAATCTGGGTTTCTCGCGGCTCTCATGTGTTTCGCTTGTTGGGTTGGTTCCAGTGTCCTCGCTGATCGTTTAGGACCTTCTCTTTCCGTAAAGGTTTGGTCTTTTTTGTTTTGGTTTTTTTGTCTGAATCTAAAAAAAAGTTTGTCTTTTTGGAGGAAAGGGAGTGTATTTATGAGAGAGTGTGTGCATCCATGTGTGTGTGTTTGTTTCATTGCATTTAGTGAACTGAAGCTGTTTGTCAATGCAATGTTTAGTGATGGACAACGTGCTCATGTGTAGGTAGTCTGTTTGTCAATGCCACTCCATGGACAGAAATTTACTTTGACGGAATAACAAGCGCTGGACAGGACCGGCTAACTCGGTTAGTTTGGATGTATTACAAATTTCAATCTCACTACATAGCCTGTCTAACCATTTACATGTGTGTATGTAGATTGATTGCTAGAGAGAATGGTCTACCAACAACAGAACCGTTATTAAGAGAGATTCCAGCAGTCGATCAAATGACAATAGCTCAGGCGAATAGCTATACTATTCTCCATCCCTCTGAGGTTGATTAGCTATATATTTCTCTTTTTTTTTTGGGGGGTTGTCTGTGGTTCTCACTATGTTTGTCGTATTTTCTAATATAGGAAATTGTGGTTCTGTGCATGGCGCGAGTAACACGGATCAACTCTGAGAAAGGGTGGTCCGATCCTACGTTGCTTGCTGTAAATGTAGCAGTGAACTCCGGCGCACTGATTGTGGTCTTACGTGTGTGAGATGTGAGAATACTAATGCTGCTGGTGTTTTACGGTATGGGACAGGCTACTCCATTAAGTTATCTTATTCCTTTTGATATTTCATCGTTAATACTATTACACTGAGATATGATTTTATAACTACAGCTACCGAGTAGAACTTTCGATTGCCGACAACACTGCTGAAGGTGTTTTTATGTGTTTTGATGGTGTTATGACAAAGTTACATAGGATTGAAGCACATGAGGCTGGTCAGGTATTGGTATGTCTTGATTCTAACCGTCATTAAGATCACCGCCTATACTTCAACTAACGTTATTATTTTGTGTTTTCTTAGGGAAACAACGGTGTTAACGCCGACTATTCTCCAGTGCCTCTGTTCATATCAGAGATGAAAGGAAAAATCTACGCTTTCCATGTTAGACTACCTGCAGGTGACTTCTCAGCAACCCGTCGGCGGCTATCACACACATTGTAGGTGAACATGAACGTCTGCCGTCTCTGTCTCCCTGCGCCAATGTAAGATTACTGTACAAAGTTTCTTCCATTATTAAACACAGATAGAGCTTTGTCTTTGTTGTCTGCTATTAACTTTCAGCTGTATCAGGGAAAAGGTACTTCCAGTGCTACTAGCATGCCAGCTTTCCACTCATTAATTCAACAGCCCGGTTTAGGTGCGAGTGGTGTTGATAGGGGATTCATTTCAGGTCCTGCACTTATTGGTGATGTTCTGATCAACTTCGCTGATCCAGATGCAGATATTGGAAAAGATAAGCGTATGTCATTAGATTAAGAAGAATCGTGGTTGAGAACTTCTCAAGGAATCATGATTGCATATTTAGATCCTGCGTTTTTTTCTACTTGCTATTTTCTAATTCCCAAACTTTGAGTCTTTGTTTTGATACTGTCCACTGAGCGATGCATGATTGACTAATTTATTTTAATGATGTTTACTTTTCACCGTTAAAGACTATGTTTTGATAAAATTATGTACATAAAGACTGAATCATATGAACATAAAACTCAAAATCTTACATAATAAACTGTCAATTTGAATACTAATAGCTATAAAACCGTATCTAATAAGTTCATGTACATAAAGACGCGATCATATCGACATTCCAGAATTATATAAATTAGTTGCATATATGTCAATAAAATCAAGAAAATTAATGCCAATAAAACCGTATCTTTGACTTCAAAACCTGCTGCTTTATAAGCACAGAACTCTCAGCCTTCTTCTTATCAACTCTCACAATCTCTTCATATCAAACATACGCAAATGGAAAACTCTCACAGTCACTCTCCACACTCTTCACATCAAGATTCAAATAAATCAGGGAAAATCAAGGAGGACGTATATGTAAAGAACATGACCAAGCTCAAGCCTCCAAAGAGCTGCAAGCTCCAGTGTAAGAATCATCTATGCGAGAGTTGTTATTATTACCCAAGAGTTGAGAAATTTGTCGACTACATAGCTAAGAAACCGAAGTGCAATTTTTTCATTGTTCCCATTACTTTAATAAAGAGAAACACCCATTAGTTCAGTTATTTTATTTTTTAAAAGAAATCACGTTCTCATAGTCTTATTGTAAATGCTCATGTGTCTCTCAAATACGTAGATTTAACGTTTGCTGTCTGCTTCAATGTACAATGGTTCTTACTTATTCGGAGGACATCAAACATACGTTATCTAGCAGGTTATAATAGATTAGCAAACAAAATGGTTACAGTAAAAATGATGCTCATCTTATTATTACGCTTAATTAGTTTATTAATAGATAAAATGCAAGAATTAAGAGGCCATAGCAATAGGTTTGGGCTTCATGCAATTTTTAATCATTGGGCTCCCATACGATAATTTCCGGCCCAATTAAATATTCGATTCTGTAGCCCTAATCTATCAATATACGCGTACCGCAGAGATTTGATTCCACGATTTCTTCGACGGCGCCGTCGCAACGTTTCCATTTCTTTCCATCAAACGAAACATTACGTAACGGGTTCGTTAAACGTACATTAAGTAGCTCCCCCACTACGTCGTCTTCAATGTTTGGCATTGATATTATAGCCTAAAGATTAGACTCACCAAGAAAAACTAAAGATTTACTTCCCGTACCAATATGAAAAATTCAAGAACTAAGCCCATATCACATGATATTTTATAACAAAAGCCATAATTTTTGTTTTGTTGACACAAATGATAAACTCTAATAACTAAAGAAACTATTTCCAAACTTAAAAGGTTAGGTATACTGAATTAAAACTACAACCATGTAAAAACCATAAAATTACCTTAAAATCCATACGCACGGAATGTTAAAATCCCAAAATAAGTATTAATGAATTTTGGAATCTCACAAATATTAAACTTACAATATTAAACCATATGACATATGAAATAAGTTTCAAAATGTAAAATATACAATAATCACACAAAAAACAAGAAAACATTATGTTACACAATATACCATCCGTATATATCACACATAAACAAACACACTAATAAACAACAATATAAAATATAAATGGTCCAAGACTAAAAATAAAATAAAATAAATAAAAAAAACGTTGAAAGCCGGAAAAAAAATTGGACAGATAAAAAAATAGAATAAAATTGTCTACATAAAAATCACATCCCGCGCGTAGCGCGGGCCGCCCCTAGTTATTTATATAAAAAAATTGGTGCAAACAAACAAATTAAAAAAAAAATACTATTATTTATTATAATTATTTTATGGTAAATAAATTGAAAAATCAGTTTTATCTATTTTATATGATATATAATTAATTTTAAAATGATTTAACATAAATATATATTATATTTTTAATTAATATGACAATTACTTTAAACTTCCATTCATATAGTTTTATGATCATTTATATCTTTTTAAATCTTTGATAACAAAATTTCAATATGAAACTTTGAATAGTTTAGTAGTTTAGAATTTAAAAAATTCACTGTAAATTAGGAAATGAAAATATTAAATTCTCAATATTTGTTCAATGCAACATCTGAAATTTAAATAATTATATATTTTTATATTAAATGTTTTAATTTAAATGATATCAAAATAAGTATATATTTTATCTGAATATCTATTAAATGTGAGATTATTAACAGCTTATTAATTTATAAACCTTTTTAATATTATATAAATAGAAAATGTAATTTTTATTATCTGATTAATATGATTATTTAATTTATTATAATAATTAAAAATTTAAGAAATGATAGATGATACACAGAATATTTTTTTTGATAAAATTTTAAATTTATTCTTCCGTTTAGGGAATTAGCATTTACGAAGAATAGTATAACTACTTAACTATGCTAGTTTTTGCGTAAAACGAAAAGAAAGAGAAAGCAAAACTATATAGAATGAGTAAACCATCTCTGAAGCAGCCCAGCATTCTTGTGACCAGCTTTATACTTTAGCAACGAAATGCGGTTCCTCATCGTCTTGTATATTACCTTACTCAAAGCTTCAGTTGTCGTCCAGCTTGTGTGGTGTCTTCGTGCATTACATTCTCGCCATAGGTGGTAAATAACCATTTGGTAGAGCAGTTTAACGAGAATCACGTCAAGGTGATTAAATATGTGGTCCTGCAAGTGGCTCAAAGTCGTGATCCAGTCCGGTTTAATACGCGAGCCAAGAAGACGGTTTGCTAAACCATGTCAGACCGTAAAAGAGTAGGGACATGCGACGAACAGATGATCCCTTGTCTCATCTCTTTCTCCACATAACTTACATCCCTGAACCATTCCTCATGCACGCATCATGCCTCCTGTCGCCAGCCTATTCTTGATAGCCAACCAGGTGATAAAAGATTACCGTGAAACTCTCTGCACAAACCAGACTACCTTGCTCCATCCCACTTTGTCTTTTTTTTTGTCCATATTTGTTTCCATGTCTTAGAGGCCGAGAACTTGTCTTGATAGTCATCTTCTTCCATCCTCCATCAAACTACATCTCTTCCATATTGGGGATCAGGTACTGTTGTCCAACGATAACAGCATAAAGCTCATGAAAGTGCCGACCTCGTTGACCTCGTATGGCCTAGCCATTGTTGTTCACCGCATCACTTACTGTGGCACGTCGAAAAGACCAATATATGTGCTACCAGTTGCACTTGTAACATCAATCAAGCGGCCCATATCGAGCCAATTATCAAATCAGAAATAAGTGGACTAGCCAACCCTAACTTCAAATCTGAGAAACCCGTATGCAACATCCCAAAGTTGTAATAGATTCCGCCACATCCACGAGTTTTTTTGAGTAACACAAAATATTATCAAATATGTACTATTTAAAATCATTAATATATATATATATATATATATATATATATTTAATCCTATTAGATAACTCATAATTTTATTTTTAAGGAAAAAGTAACTATTATAAATTAATAATTAATTATGTGATTAATTTAATGAAAATTATAGTATATATAATTGTTAAATGCTGCGATTTCATATTCGACTGTAGAATTATAGCTGTAACTCTTTTTCTTTAGTTTTAAGTTTTTAATTCTTTAATTTTTTAGATTTGAGCTGTAATATTTAATTCTCCACAAAAATTATAACAACATGAATTTAAAGAATTACTGTGAACTTTTAAAAATGGGCTGTGAACTTAAAAACAAATACAAATCAAGATTAGTGTAGAATTATGACTATAGGTGTGATTGTGGCTGTAGAGAGAATCTTCAGTAATAGCCAATTGCATCATGTTTAGATGGAACAACTAATTTTTCTAAAAAAATTAAAAGTCATTTTTGGTGAACATAGACATCAATCAAATGTTGTAATACTTCTCAAATAATATATAAAAGGGATTGGTTTAGCCAATACTTAGATTAAACAAAAGAAATTTGCGTCGTCATAGCTGTTATAACTGGGTCTAGATGGAAACTGGACCACAGTATATTGTGAAATTTTATTTTATTTTGGCTAATAAAATATTATTGTAGGTGGTGTCTAAATATCCCCTATTCAGTAAATTAGAATGAATGAAACGATTTTTCAAGCTGATTTTATAAAAAGATCAGTATAAGAGTTTGTTTAAACAATAATTTATGTAAAACATCTGACCACTGCTTAGTGATTGTGTGAATATTGAAACTATCTAACAATTGTTGAAAGACGTAGTTTTCAAGATTAAAATATTAAAATTTATGTTCTTTCAATGTTAAAAGTATATTTAGTGATTAAAGATTAAAATATTAAAATTACATGCCAAAAGAATTGGATATCTTTGTTATTTTGTTTTTTGTTTCTCTATCCTCTTTCTACTGAAATCTTTTTTTTTCAACTATTCTTTATAAAGTAATCTCCTACCATTTTTATTGATCTGATACCTATTCTATAATATAGTATTTCTCAATTTTTGTTCCTTTTTCTTGATGGCTCACTGCTCTCTCAGCCCATTTACGATTTTTTAAGACATCTGTGATTCGCTTTGTATGTTACCGATATATAATTTTAGTATTTGCTTTGTTTCGACACAATACAAATATCCAAAAAATAAATAGATATTTACCGATATTTATGAATACTTACGGAAATCTCATGTATATAAATTAAAAATTAAAAAGTAGTGAATTTACATATTTTGTAATTTTTTAAGTTTAGTTAACAATTATAATTATACAAAACTTAAAAATATATATATAATTATCACAGTTTTTTCTCTTCTTTTTATATAATACTTTTATATAAGTAATAATATGAACAGAATTTTCAAATCATTTGTTAAAATAATAATTATATTTTATACATTTAAAATTTTAAATATAATAAAGATATATGTATTTATATATTTCTGGATTAGAGTGGATATCCGTTTTCCAAAATTTTAATATTTGTGATTTACTTCGATTTTAACGGATGTTAATTTTTAGTATTTTCTTTGATTTGAACGTTTACATATATCAATAATTTTCAGATCAAATCGAAATAAATAACGAATCAAATCAAATTACCGTTGACTTAGAAACCAGAGAACACATCAAAGTCTAGTAATTATTTACGTGTTGTAGAGGCACGCCCATGGGCTTCTGCTCCACCTACGCTTGACTAGATTCCCACACATATATATATATATATATATATATATATATTCAAATTTAGTGAGTATCTGATTTTTTAAATTTATTGAAAATAAAAGTAACATTAAATTTCACTTTTTATATTTTGTTATTTTATTATATCAGTAAATTTTAACATTTGTCAATGTTGATAAAATAAAATATCTAAGAATATAAATTATGGATTATTTTCAGCCTTATATTTTTTTGAATTCATAGATACTATTATTTTTTAATATATTTTATCTTAAAATAAAAAATTCATACTTCTTAAGAAGAATTAATAAATGCATTCACATAAAGTAAGCCTTGGTTAATATTAAACATTATTTTTTTAATAATAATTTTGCATGTCATGTATAATTTTTTCCTATCTTATTTAGTGATATGGCATCACAAGAGGAAAGTAAACTCTTCTTTATATAATAAGATATTGTTCATAATAGTGTTGTAGTAAGATAAGAAAGTTGTAAATGAAATCTCAGTGAAAACAAATCGTCATGAGGTGAGTTCATTTCATCTCTTTGTGCGTCTAGCACTTCAGCGACAGTGATGATTATAAGTTTCGAAGAGTTCATCGGTAGCTAGTTATTCTAGAGACGATATGAAAATTCCCGGCATCCGAGGTAATGAGGAGAATCTCACGTTCTTGTGCTACTCCAGAGACGACATGAAAATTCCCGGCATCAGAGATAACAAGGAGAACCTCATGTTCTTGTGATCATCGTTGATGGTTGAGAACGACAACCATCAACGATGATCACAAGCAAACTAGCGAAATGTGCCGGATTAGTGATGGTTGAGAACGACAACCGTCAACGATGATCACAAGCAAACTAGCGAAATGTGCCGGATTAGTGGGCGGACAAAACTAGGTTTCTAATACTTTGACTTGGGTTATTTTGTTAAAATCGGGCTTGAAATCGGATCTTATTTCTCGTTTATCAGATTGAATAAAATTTGTATTTATCAAAAAAAAAAAAACGGTGTCCAAATATCGCAAATTGATATATTCAGCTTTTGCCATTAATTATATTAACCAGAAGAACATTAAAATTGTAAAGCAAAATAAATAGAAATTGTCAAATATTCCTCCACACTCGAACAGACACATGAACATCAAGAACAATCAAGAAAACTACAACCCCTAGATCTTTAATTAAAAATATAAGTATGTATGAATCGGTACTTATATTAACAAGCACAACCTGAGGGAGGAGGATCGTTATTTTTCTGGTCGCCGGAGGGCTTTCTGAAAGTTCTGCTTCCAAACAACATGAACCCGATGGCATGACCGGCGATGGCTGCTAGAAACACGCCGGCGTTGAATGACATGACGGCGAGCATGACTAGATAAGCGAGGCCAGTACGGAGAGTGTAGACGGCGGTTTGGAGGAGTCCGGAGGTGGGGTTGGCGGAATCTCCGGCGGTGCCACGGAGGAGAGAGGAGTGAGCAAGCAACTCAGTGATGACGGCGAGGAAGAAGACAAAGATGAGACAAAGAGCATACATGCCGGAGCTTGTTCCCGGCCAGCCGGAGAAGAGAACCTCCGTGTTCTTGCCCCAAAAGAAAGTCATGTGCATCATCATCATCTTGTGATGTCCTCCTCCTCCGTTCATGGATCCATTGTTAATCATGGATGGTGATGCTGGTGGAGGCATGTCATGCATGTGACCATGATCCATGGTTTCTTTGTTCTTTGGTCTCTTGTGTGTTGCTTTTTGAGAGGAGAATGGATAACAATGTTAGAAGAGGTCTGCTTGATATTTATTGAGATTCGCGTTTATTGAGATTCCTCTTTTGTTTGGGTTTGTGTGGAGATAAGAGTAACGATATTATTGTACTACAGTACAACTTATTTTTTGACTTTTTAAACTTTTGTAGAGTACAAAAAGAGGAATTTATTGATAGTACAATTTTTTTAATTATAACTAATTACTATATTTGGTTTGGAATTACAGACAGTGTATCATAATCTTTTAGAGATATTTAACCATTCTTGGAATCTCAGAATTTGGTAAATCAGTTTTGTGATTCGGATAGTAAAGCGTACACGTAAACCAACCATACAAAAGATAGTAGTATGATGGTGCGATGAGATCTCATATAAAAAGAGACTCGTATGGACCTTTTCAGTTAATGCATTGTAAACATTACGTTGACGAAATTTATTGATGCAGACGGTGACGTCTAAATACCGCTTCGGGGTTTTTTTGCATATCTAATTTACATTTTCAAGGAAGCCACTTTTGTATTACTATTGGCATGAGTTGTTAATCACTGTAAAAGTCCCTAATCTCAGTGTTTTCAGGCCTAATCTGGATCTGCGGTCTGACCGCTAAACCAGGTGTCTCGTTAAGTAATCCAGTTTGGATTTTAAAAAATATTCACTAATTAAAAATCCGATAAAACCCGTTAAAAATCTTTAAATCCGATGACTTGGCTATCGGTTAAATGTTCGGATGAATCAATGAGTTATTTTTATTTAGTTTTTATTAAACTTTTAATTATTTTATTAAATATTTTTTCTGTACCCAAAATAAAAAGTTAGATTTTTACGTTTTAGTTTTTTATTCTCATAAAATTGTTGTTTTTCGTACTATTCTATACCTCTTTTAATTTTCTTTTAAAATTTTTATTGATTTTATATGTGATATTTTTGTTAATCAAATTTATTGATCTTATTTAATTTTGAAAAAATCATATATAATATTGATTTTTATGAACATAGCATTATGCCTTTTAATGAAAATATATTGAATAATGATAAATATCTAAAACTTATGAGATTTAAGTCTTCTTGTTATGATTTACTATATGTTTCAACTCCTAATTTCTTATAAAAAAATGTTAAATAGTATAATCTAATTTCAAATTTTTTATATGTGAAAATAAAATAAAATAAAGAAAGTAAATTTAATCTTTTCTTTGTTTTTAAGAAATGTGAATTTTTTTCCTGTATTTTTAGTAGTTAAATATGTAGTTATTTATAAAAATTATTTAATGTATTGATCCGTGGTTCATCCGTGATTGATCCAGTAATCCAGTGACCCAGCAAAATATCCGGTTCAGTGTTCAGGTCGGGTTTAAAAACATTGCCTAATCCAGTAGTTTGATTACAGTTTTCTTATCTTGGCAAATAAAATTTTTAAATTTTTAAAGAATGTGATTTATCATTAATTATTTAAATTAAATAAAAATATTCTTCCAATTTTTTTTTTTAATATAGGGTACTAAAATCGTTATGTATAGGTTTTCATAAAATGATAGGTAAACTTTCATAAAATTTTATGTAAATGTATCGATACACATTTATTTTGTAATAATTTTCAATAACTGATAAATAAGTGTTGGAATTTTTTGTTAATTAATACTACGAGCATAGAACTTAATAAATAATATTTTACGTAGTTTTTATAAAATGGTACGTAAATTTTCATAAAATTTTAGATAAATATATCGATTACAGATTCTTGTGTAATAGTTTTCAATAACTGGCAAAGTGTTGAAAAAGTTATTATTAATATAAGCAGACTTAATTATGAATATTATTTAAAAGAAAAGAAAATAATAACAGGAAATCCATGTCGAACTACATGTTAGTGGTTTAGTAACAGCTGAGTTTTGGATTGTTTAGGCACACGAATATGGATTTGTTATTTTTTTTTTTTTTTTGACAACGAACGGCTGATCTATTACTCAAGCTTGAGGTGGTCTGAGAATCCAAACCGGAATAGAACAACCTACAAACAGCAACTCTCGATAAAAGGATCGAGCAGTCCTAGCTAGTGAATCGGAGAAAACATTATGTGTCCTAGGCACATAAACAATTTTAAATTCAGGAAAGCAAATCCGTAGTGTAGCGATCTTTTCAAGTTCCGTTGAGAAGCTTGGCCAGTCCTGTGGTTTCGTTAGCATTGATATCATTTCCTTGCAATCCGTCCCAAAGCTCTGACATGGCGAATGTTGAAGCATGTTCTCCATTGCCCACCGCAGTGCTTCCAGCTCAGAATGCAAAGCAGACTCCACTCTATCAAAGTTACGCAACCCCATCAGCTGAACATTCCCCATACTATCGTGCCATACCCATCCACATCCGCTATATTGAGCTGTAGAGGTCCAGGAACCATCCACCAGACATATACTCCCCAGACTTATGGTCTGGTTATCGCCATTCATGTCGATTTGAGAGGGCAAGGACGTTTGCTCGTTAGCTTGAAACCAGGCAAGGCATTCACTCTCTGCATATCGTGCTGTCTCCAATGGGTCTCTGTCAATTCCTTTAAACAATTTGTCATTCCGAGCCTTCCAAATATACCAAATTAGCCAAGGATAAGGATCCATGTCTACTGCCGGTCCTCCTAAAGCATCCTTCCTCCAAAAGAGATAATCCATGTTTGCATATGTGCTCTGCAATGGAAATAAAGACGGGCTAGTGGGTAGAGACGACAGTGCCCAGACTTGCTTTGCAGGAGGGCACAGGAAAATGGCATGTGTGATCGATTCCTCCGGTTCTCCACAGCGTGGGCAATAGTTATCACACCGCATATGGCGATAGTTCAAGATGCTCGTAACAACCAACTGACTCGATATTATTTGCCACATAAGATGACACATTTTTTGTGGCGCTCGCACCTTCCAAGCCTGCGCTTGTAATTTAGTAATACTAGGTTCACTAACTACATGCATTTCCTCTCTCTTTAATATATTTCGTGCCACCCAATATCCAGACTTGACTGTATATTGTCTATTCCTAGTATAGCTCCAGCAGAATGTATCTCTCCGATGTGTCGAACTAATGGACATACTCCTTATGAGAGGTATATCAACATCACTGACGTATTGTTCCAGTCTTGTCATGTCCCAGGTCTTCGTCTCTTGATTAATAAAATCACTGACTCTCATGTTTGGGTGCAAGATCGGTGCAGATGGGATCGCCGGTCTCGCAGGTATGGTAGGAATCCAAGGATCCTCCCATACTTTCACCTCATACCCCGAATGGATCTTTTGTCTGATACCCAATAACAATAAGTCACGTGACGCCGAAATACTTGTCCACACATATGATGGGTTACTAGTTGAGAGCTTACGCAATGGCGAACTTGATCGATAATACCGACCCCTCATTACACGAGCAACCAAAGAATCCGGATATTGACTTAGCCTCCATAATTGTTTTGCCAGCAATGCCAAGTTAAATTCATGAATCAACCTGAAACCGATCCCACCTTCCTCCTTTGGTAAGCATACTTTATCCCAAGTGGACCAATGGATGCCCCTTTTTGGGGGGTTCGAACTCCACCAGAACTGTGCAATGGCACTAGCTAGGGCATCACATATTTCCAAGGGCAAAAGAAAACAGGACATGACATAAGTCGGCAGAGCTAATAGGATCGACTTGATCATAACCTCCTTGCCACCTTCCTGTCCACCTGTTAACCCTGTTTCTTAGCTTATCCTTTAGGAACGCAAAGAGCTTACATTTGGACCCACTTATATCCTCCGGAATTTCTAGATAAGTTCCCATTCCTCATTCATTATGAATGCCAAGTGTATCTTTAATTTCTTGTCTAACCTCCCGTCCAATCCTCTTACCGAAGAGTAAGGAAGATTTGTCGAAATTAATGCATTGACCAGAGTCTTGTCCATATTTCTTTACCACTTTCATTACTTCTTCACATTCACAGGGCTCCGCCTTACAGAAAAACAGACTATCATCAGCAAAGAGAAGGTGAGATATCGACGGACACGCACGCGTGATACGCATCCCCGTAATCTTTCCTTGATTCTCTGCGTGATTTAAAAGGCTAACGAGCGCTTCCGTGCACAGAATAAAAATGAAAGGGGACAGAGGATCCCCCTGTCGTAGACCTCTCTCTGGAACAATGTTCCCTCTTGGTTGACCATTCATTAGTACCTTATACCTAACAGAAGTTATACAGCGCATGATCCATGTTATCCACATTTCTGCAAAGCCCATCTTCCTCATGGTAGCCTCAATGAAGGACCATTCCATTCTATCGTACGCCTTGCTCATGTCCGTTTTAATCGCCATTCTCTTATTCCTTCCACTGGGTTTAGTCCTTAGGACATGAAACAGCTCTTGGGCGATCATAATGTTATCAGATATCTGCCTTCCCGCAACAAAGGCCGATTGGGTTTCTGATATTCTATCTGGAAGAACCTTCTTTAACCTCTGGCATAAGACCTTAGAGATTATCTTATAGCTAACATTGCACAGGCTGATTGGACGTAGCTGACTCATCTGATCCGGCTTATCAACTTTCGGGATGAGACATATGTTTGTTTCATTTAAACCATTAGGTATCACTCCTTCAAACAGGAATTTATTAACCATAAGAGTTAAATCCTCTTTGACAATATCCCAAAATTTTGGGTAGAAGAGTGCAGTCATTCCGTCCGGGCCTGGGGCTTTCTCTGGATGTATGGCAAAAAGTGCTAACTTGATCTCCCATTCAGTTACTGGCGCTGTGAGATTGTCATTATCCATAGGTGTAATGGTAGTAGAGACTTCAGATAGTGCGTCCGCTATATCCTCCGGATTTGATGACTGGAAAATATGTCTAAAATAATTAGTAGCAATGGCTACTAATCCTTCCTCATCATGAACCACATTTCCATTTTCATCGAGAAGTTGTGTGATCCAGTTCCTTGCTCTTCTCTGCTTCGTAAGAGCGTGAAAAAATTTTGTATTTCTATCTCCTTCTCGTAACCAAAAGACTCTGCACTTCTGTTTCC